AAAATTTTATCTCTCAGATTTCCCTTTTAACTATCCTATGTGATAGAGATTGGTCCGTAGATTAAGACGCTGCGATCAGATCTTATTTATCTCTTTTAGTTTACGAGATATTCGCGATTGAATAAAATGGGCAAAAATTGCAAAATGTCACTTTTTAGCACTTTTAGTCGCGTTTTTCGACCTTGTTCTGTAGGAAATATAATTATTTTATATTTTTATCTGATAGAGAATTTTCCAATCTTTCATAATCAACAATTCGTTGGTAGCTATCTCTTTTAGTTTAAGAGATATGAATTTTTGAAAATCGTCGAAAAAAAGTATCAAGCACCCCCCCTTGGCAATTTTTTTCTTAAGATTGAAAATTTTATCTCTCAGATTTCGGTTTTAACTATCCTATCCGATAGAGATTAGTCCGTAGATTAAGACGCTGCGATCAGATCTTAATTATCTCTCTTAGTTTACGAGATATTCGCGATTGAATAAAATGGGCAAAAATTGCAAAATGTCACTTTTTAGCACTTTTAGTCGCGTTTTTCGACCTTTTACTGTAGGAAATATAATTATTTTATATTTTTATCTGATAGAGAATCTTCCAATCTTTCATAATCAACAATTCGTTGGTAGCTATCTCTTTTAGTTTAAGAGATATGAATTTTTGAAAATCGTCGAAAAAAAGTATCAAGCACCCCCTTGGCAATTTTTTCTTAAGATTTAAAATTTCATCTCTCAGATTTCCTTTTAACTATCCTATCTGATAGAGATTGGTCCGTAGATTAAGACGCTGCGATCAGATCTTAATTATCTCTTTTAGTTTACGAGATATTCGCGATTGAATAAAATGGGCAAAAATTGCAAAATGTCACTTTTTAGCACTTTTAGTCGCGTTTTTCGACCTTTTACTGTAGGAAATATAATTATTTTATATTTTTATCTGATAGAGAATCTTCCAATCTTTCATAATCAACAATTCGTTGGTAGCTATCTCTTTTAGTTTAAGAGATATGAATTTTTGAAAATCGTCGAAAAAAAGTATCAAGCACCCCCCCTTGGCAATTTTTTCTTAAGACTTAAAATTTCATCTCTCAGATTTCCCTTTTAACTATCCTATCTGATAGAGATTGGTCCGTAGATTAAGACGCTGCGATCAGATCTTATTTATCTCTTTTAGTTTACGAGATATTCGCGATTGAATAAAATGGGCAAAAATTGCAAAATGTCACTTTTTAGCACTTTTAGTCGCGTTTTTCGACCTTTTACTGTAGGAAATATAATTATTTTATATTTTTATCTGATAGAGAATTTTCCAATCTTTCATAATCAACAATTCGTTGGTAGCTATCTCTTTTAGTTTAAGAGATATGAATTTTTGAAAATCGTCGAAAAAAAGTATCAAGCACCCCTTGGCAATTTTTCTTAAGACTTAAAATTTCATCTCTCAGATTTCCCTTTTAACTATCCTATCTGATAGAGATTGGTCCGTAGATTAAGACGCTGCGATCAGATCTTATTTATCTCTTTTAGTTTACGAGATATTCGCGATTGAATAAAATGGGCAAAAATTGCAAAATGTCACTTTTTAGCACTTTTAGTCGCGTTTTTCGACCTTTTACTGTAGGAAATATAATTATTTTATATTTTTATCTGATAGAGAATTTTCCAATCTTTCATAATCAACAATTCGTTGGTAGCTATCTCTTTTAGTTTAAGAGATATGAATTTTTGAAAATCGTCGAAAAAAAGTATCAAGCACCCCCCCTTGGCAATTTTTTCTTAAGACTTAAAATTTTATCTCTCAGATTTCCCTTTTAACTATCCTATCTGATAGAGATTGGTCCGTAGATTAAGACGCTGCGATCAGATCTTATTTATCTCTTTTAGTTTACGAGATATTCGCGATTGAATAAAATGGGCAAAAATTGCAAAATGTCACTTTTTAGCACTTTTAGTCGCGTTTTTCGACCTTTTACTGTAGGAAATATAATTATTTTATATTTTTATCTGATAGAGAATTTTCCAATCTTTCATAATCAACAATTCGTTGGTAGCTATCTCTTTTAGTTTAAGAGATATGAATTTTTGAAAATCGTCGAAAAAAGTATCAAGCACCCCCCCTTGGCAATTTTTTCTTAAGACTTAAAATTTTATCTCTCAGATTTCCCTTTTAACTATCCTATCTGATAGAGATTGGTCCGTAGATTAAGACGCTGCGATCAGATCTTATTTATCTCTTTTAGTTTACGAGATATTCGCGATTGAATAAAATGGGCAAAAATTGCAAAATGTCACTTTTTAGCACTTTTAGTCGCGTTTTTCGACCTTTTACTGTAGGAAATATAATTATTTTATATTTTTATCTGATAGAGAATTTTCCAATCTTTCATAATCAACAATTCGTTGGTAGCTATCTCTTTTAGTTTAAGAGATATGAATTTTTGAAAATCGTCGAAAAAAAGTATCAAGCACCCCCTTGGCAATTTTTCTTAAGACTTAAAATTTTATCTCTCAGATTTCCTTTTAACTATCCTATCTGATAGAGATTGGTCCGTAGATTAAGACGCTGCGATCAGATCTTATTTATCTCTTTTAGTTTACGAGATATTCGCGATTGAATAAAATGGGCAAAAATTGCAAAATGTCACTTTTTAGCACTTTTAGTCGCGTTTTTCGACCTTTTACTGTAGGAAATATAATTATTTTATATTTTTATCTGATAGAGAATTTTCCAATCTTTCATAATCAACAATTCGTTGGTAGCTATCTCTTTTAGTTTAAGAGATATGAATTTTTGAAAATCGTCGAAAAAAAGTATCAAGCACCCCCCCTTGGCAATTTTTTCTTAAGACTTAAAATTTCATCTCTCAGATTTCCCTTTTAACTATCCTATCTGATAGAGATTGGTCCGTAGATTAAGACGCTGCGATCAGATCTTAATTATCTCTTTTAGTTTACGAGATATTCGCGATTGAATAAAATGGGCAAAAATTGCAAAATGTCACTTTTTAGCACTTTTAGTCGCGTTTTTCGACCTTTTACTGTAGGAAATATAATTATTTTATATTTTTATCTGATAGAGAATTTTCCAATCTTTCATAATCAACAATTCGTTGGTAGCTATCTCTTTTAGTTTAAGAGATATGAATTTTTGAAAATCGTCGAAAAAAGTATCAAGCACCCCCTTGGCAATTTTTTCTTAAGATTAAAATTTCATCTCTCAGATTTCCTTTTAACTATCCTATCTGATAGAGATTAGTCCGTAGATTAAGACGCTGCGATCAGATCTTAATTATCTCTCTTAGTTTATGAGATATTCGCGATTGAATAAAATGGGCAAAAATTGCAAAATGTCACTTTTTAGCACTTTTAGTCGCGTTTTTCGACCTTTTACTGTAGGAAATATAATTATTTTATATTTTTATCTGATAGGGAATTTTCCCATCTTTCATAATCAATAATTCGTTGGTAGCTATCTCTTTTAGTTTAAAAGATATGAATTTTTGAAAATCGTCGAAAAAAAGTATTAATTAACATTAATTGGCAATTTTTTCTTAAGACTTAAAATTTCATCTCTCAGATTTCCCTTTTAACTACCCTATCTGATAGAGATTGGTCCGTAGATTAAGATGCTGCGATCAGATTTTATTTATCTCTTTTAGTTTAGATGCGGAATTTAATTCTGTATCCCCCTGTATAGAACCTAATTGCGAGAAAATTCCGTAATTTAGTACTTGTTGCTCTAGGATTTGTAGTTTTTTGTTATAACTCGCTAGGGCGGTGCTACAATTAGATTGAAATAATTTTTCTAGATGCGGAATTTAATTCTGTATCCCTCTGTATAGAAATTATTTGCGAGAAAATTCCGTAACGCGAGTTATATTGATAGTTGTGTTTGCGCCGTAGTACTCGTTGCGCTAGGAATTGTAGTTTTTTTGTTATAACTCGCTAGGGCGGTGCTACAATTAGATTGAAATAATTTTCCTAGATGCGGAATTTAATTTTGTATCTCCCTGTATAGAAATATATAGCAAGAAACTTCCGTAACGAGAGTTGTATTGAAAATTGTGTTTGCGCCGTAACACTCGTTGCGCTAGGAATTGTAGTTTTTTTGTTTTAACTTGCGAACGCGGTGTTACAATTAGTTTGATATAATTTTCCTAAATGTGGAATTTATTTCTGTATCCTTCTGTATAGAAATTTATTGCGAGAAAATTCTGTAACGCGAGTTATATTGATAGTTGTGTTTGCGCCGTAGTACTCGTTGCGCTAGGAATTGTAGTTTTTGTTTTAACTTGCGAACGCGGTGTTACAATTAGTTTGATATAATTTTCCTAAATGTGGAATTTATTTCTGTATCCTTCTGTATAGAAATTTATTGCGAGAAAATTCCGTAACGCGAGTTATATTGATAGTTGTGTTTGCGCCGTAGTACTCGTTGCGCTAGGAATTGTAGTTTTTTTGTTTTAACTTGCGAACGCGGTGTTACAATTAGTTTGAAATAATTTTCCTAGATGCGGAATTTAATTTTGTATCCCCCTGTATAGAACCTAATTGTAAGAAAATTCCGTAACGCGAGTTATATTGAAAGTTGTGTTTGCGCCGTAGTACTCGTTGCGCTAGGAATTGTAGTTTTGTTACGCAGCTTTAAATTTGATTATCACGACTAATATAGGTTTGATTCTAGGAGTTTCTGCTACCGCCACCTTCGTACGGTGCCCTAAATGGGAGTCTTTATGGATTTTGTAAGAATAATTAATTTAATATGTGTATATGTGTACTTTATTTACATAAATATTTTCCAGTTGATGGATGAAGTATTGTCTAATCCTGAGATGGCCAAGTTTATCAATAAGGACTAACTGGAGTGGTTCAGGTGGAGTGCATATTGAGGATGATGTTTTGATTACTGAAAATAGATGTTGCAACTGGACTAAACTTATAAGAACGTATGTTATATTTTGGCAATTTATAATATTTTATATTTTACTATTCTGTTATTCATTCAGGTTTATAGTGTCCAAGAAATTGAAGATTGGATTGCCTGTGTTGATGATGATTCCAAATTCGATTGAATGAATTTACAACATTTCGAAGCTGTTATTGATATCATTTTTGTTTATTATGTTAAAAATTGTAAAAAGAGCATTGTATAATTACTTGTACATATTGAGAAATTGAGTTACTGATGGGTGTATATTCTACATGTTTGAATAAAATTGTTGTTTTATACTTTTAACTATAAATGTTTATTGTTTTATTTGTTCCAAACGGAGAACATAGCTCGCAACATCGTTACTCCTTTAATTAATCCATAAAACCCTTAAACTTTAATGGAGATGCCACTGCTAGATATGAGAAATAGTTCAAAATCAATTTTATATTGTATCAATATTAATTTAAAAACGGTATCACTAGTGTCATCTATCCACGAGTAACTAAACTACGTCGCTATTCAAGATTGCTGGAGATTCACAACTAAGAGGGCTAGAAAAGAAAGAACTACATATTCTTAATCATTGAAAAAATCTCAATAAGATGGCATCCTTATTGAAAAATGATAAAAATGGCACAAAAAAATTTTAACGAAAAGATTTTGTTATAAAAAAGGCAAAAGATTTCTCCTTTTTTATGTTGAAAATTAAAAGTTGGAATTTTTGAATTCTGTTTTCGGATTCTGATAGACAATTTAATTCTACATCGATTATTTTAGTAACTTTTTGTGCTACTATCAACCGTTTAGGCCCTATTTACAAATTTGAATGAAAATTGAATTCGACATAAAAAAGAGAAATCTTTTGCCTTTTTTATGACGAAATCTTTTTTCACCAAATGCAGCTTCTGTAATAATTGGAATTTTCCAATTCTGTTTTCGGTTACTGAAAGTCAATTAAATTTTGAATCAGAAACCATTAACACAATTGTAAATCAAGGCCCTATTGACAGATAAAAACCATTTTTTTCATTAATTTGCAAATAAAGCCTAAATGGTTAATGTTAGGAAAATAATTACTTCAATTGTCGATATAGCACCAACCAACCTATCTTTCAGAATCTGATAACCAAATTTAAAATGTTCAATATAACCGATGCATTTGCTGAATAAAGATTTTTAAACATTCATTTTACCCGCCATTACTAGTTACCGCCTCTTTTATATACCTCCTCACCCTTTCTGCGATCCGAATACCAAAACCTGAGTTTCGACTGTTTCGAGTCCAAATTTTGTGTCATTTTGCCTCTCAGAGTCGACAAAATAAAGATTGAATATTAGGATCGCAGAAAGTTGAGGAGGCTGATAAAGTTTTCGCGGTAACTAGTAATGTGCTGCCTCTGGTGGCGACGGACCGAAGCTCAAAATTTTCGGTTGTTGTAGTTTCTAATTGATAGATGGCACTAGCATGCACTTTTCAAAATAAATGTTTTAAGGGATCGTTAAATATGTGATCGGGTAGAAATAACAGAAATAATTTTAATTAGAAAAACTTAAAAATATTCTTTATTAAAGAAAACACACAAGCATACATACATTTTGGGAGTCAATTTGGGTAATAATCACAAAAGTTATTAAAGATAATGAAATTTAATAATAACAATCTGATGCAAGAATGGTCCTTCTACGATGTCAGACTCAGGTGTAAAATACCTAAAACCAGCAAAAATTAGTCATTCGAACATAAAAATGCAATTTTAAGGGTTAATTTGTGAGATAATCACAAAAGTTATTTAGGAAAATGATAAAGAAATTAAATACTTACAATCTGATGCAAGAATGGTCCTTCTACGATGTCAGACTCAGGTGCAAAATCCCTAAAACAGCAAAAATTAGTCATTCGAACATAAAAATGCAATTTTAAGGGTTAATTTGTGAGATAATCACAAAAGTTATTTAGGAAAATGATAAAGAAATTAAATACTTACAATCTGATGCAAGAATGGTCCTTCTACGATGTCAGACTCAGGTGCAAAATACCTAAAACAGCAAAAATTAGTCATTCGAACATAAAAATGCAATTTTAAGGGTTAAATTGTGAGATAATCACAAAAGTTTTTTAGGAAAATGATAAAGAAATTAAATACTTACAATCTGATGCAAGAATGGTCCTTCTACGATGTCAGACTCAGGTGCAAAATACCTAAAACCAGCAAAAATTAGTCATTGGAACATAAAAATGCAATTTTAAGGGTTAATTTGTGAGATAACCACAAAAGTTATTTAGGAAAATGATAAAGAAATTAAATACTTATATTCTGATGCAAGAATGGTCCTTCTACGATGTCAGACTCAGGTGCAAAATTCCTAAAACAAGCAAAAATTAGTTTTTCGAACATAAAAATGCAATTTTAAGGGTTAATTTGTGAGATAATCACAAAAGTTATTTAGGAAAATGATAAAGAAATTAAATACTTACAATCTGATGCAAAAATGGTCCTTCTACGATGTCAGACTCAGGTGCAAAATCACTAAAACAAGCAAAAATTAGTTTTTCGAACATAAAAATGCAATTTTAAGGGTTAATTTGTGAGAAAATCACAAAAGTTATTTAGGAAAATGATAAAGAAATTAAATACTTACAATCTGATACAAAAATGGTCCTTCTACGATGTCAGACTCAGGTGCAAAATCCCTAAAACAAGCAAAAATTAGTTTTTCGAACATAAAAATGCAATTTTAAGGGTTAATTTGTGAGATAATCACAAAAGTTATTTAGGAAAATGATAAAGAAATTAAATACTTACAATCTGATGCAAGAATGGTCCTTCTACGATGTCAGACTCAGGTGCAAAATCCCTAAAACAAGCAAAAATTAGTCTTTCGAACATAAAAATGCAATTTTAAGGGTTAATTTGTGAGATAATCACAAAAGTTATTTAGGAAAATGATAAAGAAATTAAATACTTACAATCTGATGCCAAAATGGTCCTTCTACGATGTCAGACTCAGGTGCAAAATCCTAAAACAAGCAAAAATTAGTCTTTCGAACATAAAAATGCAATTTTAAGGGTTAATTTGTAAGATAATCACAAAAGTTATTTAGGAAAATGATAAAGAAATTAAATACTTACAATCTGATGCCAAAATGGTCCTTCTACGATGTCAGACTCAGGTGCAAAATCCCTAAAACCAGCAAAAATTAGTCCTTCGAACATAAAAATGCAATTTTGAGGGTCAATTTGTGAGATAATCACAAAAGTTATTTAAGAAAATGATAAAGAAATTAAATACTTACAATCTGATGCAAGAATGGTCCTTCTACGATGTCAGACTCAGGTGCAAAATCACTAAAACAAGCAAAAATTAGTACTTCGAACATAAAAATGCAATTTTAAGGGTTAATTTGTAAGATAATCACAAAAGTTATTTAAGAAAATGATAAAGAAAATAAATACTTACAATCTGATGCAAAAATGGTCCTTCTACGATGTCAGACTCAGGTGCAAAATCCCTAAAACAAGCAAAAATTAGTCTTTCGAACATAAAAATGCAATTTTAAGGGTTAATTTGTGAGATAATCACAAAAGTTATTTAGGAAAATGATAAAGAAATTAAATACTTACAATCTGATGCAAAAATGGTCCTTCTACGATGTCAGACTCAGGTGCAAAATCCCTAAAACAAGCAAAAATTAGTCCTTCGAACATAAAAATTCAATTTTGTGGCTCAATTTGTACGAAAATCATAAAAGTTATTTAAGAAAATGATAAAGGAATTAAATACTTACAATCTGTTACCAGAACGGTCCTTCTACAATCTCAGACTCAGGTGCAAAATCCCTAAAACAAGTAAAAATTAGTCCTTCGAACATAAAAATGCGATTTTTGGGGTTAATTTGTACAATAATCATAAAAGTTATTTAGGAAAATGATAAAGGAATTAATTACTTACAATCTGATACCAGAATGGTCCTTCTACGATGTCAGACTCAGGTGCAAAATCCCTAAACAAGCAAAAATTAGTCCTTCGAACATAAAAATGCAATTTTTGGGGTTAATTTGTACAATAATCATAAAAGTTATTTAGGAAAATGATAAAGAAATTAAATACTTACAATCTGATCCAAGAATGGTCCTTCTACGATGTCAGACTCAAGTGCAAAATCCCTAAAACAAGCAAAAATTAGTACTTCGAACATAAAAATGCAATTTTAAGGGTTAATTTGTAAGATAATCGCAAAAGTTATTAAAGAAAATGATAAAGAAAATAAATACTTACAATCTGATGCAAAAATGGTCCTTCTACGATGTCAGACTAAGGTGCAAAATCCCTAAAACAAGCAAAAATTAGTGCTTCGAACATAAAAATGCAATTTTTAGGGTTAATTTGTACAATAATCATAAAAGTTTTTTAGGAAAATGATAAAGGAATTAATTACTGACAATCTGATACCAGAATGGTCCTTCTACGATGTCAGACTCAGGTGCAAAATCCCTAAAACAAGCAAAAATTAGTCCTTCGAACATAAAAATGCAATTTTTGGGGTCAATTTGTACAATAATTATAAAAGTTATTTAGGAAAATGATAAAGGAATTAATTACTTACAATCTGATACCAGAATGGTCCTTCTACGATGTCAGACTCAGGTGCAAAATCCCTAAAACAGGCAAAAATTAGTCCTTCGAACATAAAAATGCAATTTTGGGGATCAATTTGTACGATAATCATAAAAGTTATTTAGGAAAATTATAAAGGAATTAATTACTTACAATCTGTTATCAGAAAGGTCCTTCTACGATGTCAGACTCAGGTGCAAAATTCCTAAAACCAGCAAAAATTAGTCCTTCGAACATAAAAATGCAATTTTGGGGGTCAATTTGTACGATAATCATAAAAGTTATTTGGGAAAATGATAAAGAAATTAATTACATACAATCTGATACCAGAATGGTCCTTCTACGATGTCAGACTCAGGTGCAAAATTTCTAAAACAAAATGTGGTTGCATATTTTATTTTAAATTTGCGTTCCAATGTTGTGCGAGAATCAACTATCGTAACTCGGCAAGCACTAAAGCAGAAAAAAAACATGAAAAAATGGGCAATCTTTGGTGGCAATTTTGAGGCTCTTAGGGTGCAATCTCGCGCTGAACAATCTTCAAAATCTTCAAAATAAACTATTGCTAACAGGATACGAAGAATAAATTAATATATTGCGAAAGGTCTCGAAATAAGGTCTGTTTTCCACGGCAGATTTTCGAAATTTCAAAAATGGATCAAATTTAGCGGCTATTTTGACGCAACCGGCACGAAATTAGCCGCAATCCGTAGATAGCGCATACCGTAGTCGAACAAGTAACGACACGTCAGTTTATGATAAGAATACCTGCTGCCCGAACCCCGCAGGGGAAAGCAAGAGATGAGCAAAGCAGGCGCATCAATGGCACGCGACCATGGGCGCAAATTGCAATAGGCATAGGTGCATGCGATCAATAGAATAGGCAACATGCGGCACAAGAAGATGGCAACGCGGTTTTCTCATAAACTAAACGCGATAGAACAGAACAGATTGAATATTCTTAATTCTCTAAAATATAAACGAGTTCAATTAAAAATCTAATAAACAAAAAAGTAATTTAAAAAGGAAAGTGGGCAAGAAGAGACACTACATCATTTTTTGAGGATTTTTCACCGTACGAGGGTAGCGGTAGAAGTGACTCCTATTCAGGGCACCGTACGAGGCTAGCGGTAAAAGTGACTCGTGTTCAGGGCACCGTACGAGGGTGCGGTAGAAATGACTACCATTGCAAAAAAATAGGCAAGGGGGTGTGGTATCCTGTTTTTGAGGATTTAGGAAATATTTTTTGAACAAAAAGCGCTAGCAACTAGCCGATCAAAAATTATGAAAATTTGGAAAATTCTCTATAAGATAAGTTAAAAAAATACTAAAAATACGGGGTGTAAAGGTTCTAAAATCGTGTCTAAAAGTGCAAAAAAGTTAACTTTTTCACTTTTTGAGAGCTTTCTCCGATTGTGAATATCTCAAAAACTAATATCTTGTGTCTTTGCAACACGCGGTGGAACGCGAAAAAAAAAACTACGTAAATACAAACTTGTGTACGACGCAAGAATTAAAATGAAAAATATAATTGAATTAAAAACTTACCAATTCAGAACACATCGGACTCCTAGGCACAGCAAATACTGTAAATAAGAAAAGAAAACATTATATTCATGTAATATTATATTCAAACAGCGAAAAAAAAATAAACATCTATGCTGTTTACACAAAAGTTACTCACACCAGCACGATGGGTCATCCTAATGATGAATAAATGTATTCACCTAGCAACTCGACACTTACGCATAAATAATAAATATCATTACTATAGTCGCAAGTTAAAACTTTATATCCGACTTTTTTATACAGAATTTTATATGAAAACCAAACTTGGTAGTGTAGGTACGTCATAATAACCGGTTGGTCAATATAAGCGGAGTCATAATAAACGGATTCTACTGTAGATCATTGATGAACGAATATAATGCGAATTTGGAAAATAGAAGTTCGGACAAACGATACGAGTCGCGAGAAATACGTCTGCAACAATCAGAGACCGGCACGAACTGGCCGCCAACTGCGCAAGCAACGACGCGACAGTTTATGATAAGAAATCTAGAGATGCGCGAAATCGGCGTGTCGCACGATACCTGCAATCTGAACTAAACTAGAGTGTGCACAATAAGACTCTGTGCCAGCTGCATGAACCTCGCAGGTAAAAGCGACAGCCCGAGGATAGACAAGAATCTTACGCGTAGCACCTCGCACGTCGATTGCGATAAGAATGTTGTTTATACACAAACGCTGATAATTGATTTGTCTTCAAAACGAATAAAATTCTATTTTAAGATTTTCGGTTCATGCTAGTGTCATCTCTGAATGAAACAGAGAGCAGTCCCGGAATTTAAATTAATAAAATAAGTGATATTTAATTCGACCATGTATTGTTTCTACTACGAGTACATTTCGGTTTACATTTGAGCAATGAAATGTATTTTCACATTTGGTCAAATTCCTGGAAAACTATGAGTCCTAAAGTAAAAATTTGAATTGCAATCTTCAAATATTCTGTGAAATGCTTGAAAGAAATTTCCGCAAAAAGAAGTTTAAGATATCAATTTTCTAATTCCAGGAAAGGAGAAAAACAGATACTATGAATGATGAAAAAATTCTTATTCACCACAATTATTTAAATGAGTATTCTTACCAGGCTACACATTGACACGACGAGTTTTGCTGAAGGCAAAAATAGTTCGCACAAGACCGAAATTAACTGCAATATTATTTACAATCACACAACAAGACCGGCCGACGTCCGACGGCAAGCGATCACGAATTCACGCAAAATGTAAAAAAAAACACACAAAACATTAAATTTCGAAAATTGCACACGCGATAAATATTTAGCGAAATCACCAAACACGACCATGAACACTATATTCCATCACCGCCGATCTATCGGATTTACCGAATCCAAAATCAGCGAAAGCAAGTGACTCGATATATTCCAATAGTACTATTACCGATTTAAAAAAATATATTTTCATCAGTATTGAATATGTAATCAAAAAAATCTTGTAATTAAATCACGTTTAATTAAAAAAGAAATTTGGTGTGCTGCGACTGCGATCACTCGACGAGAAATGAACTTCAAAATCAGCAAATGTTGTACAACAATAACGTTCAAAATAAAACCGAGAATAATTGCAAACTAAAATAAACGTATAAAGGACATGCAGTGCCATCTATCGGCACACAAAATAATGACAATGAAGAAAGTAGAATACCGATTAAAAACTACAAGCGCCATCTAGTGTCGGAGGTCAGAACTACTTATTTTGAAGAAAACTGTAATTGCGCACAACATTTCTTTTGAACCGTCATTTTTCTGTGGCGTAACCGGATTGACAAGCGCAAACGTTGGTAAACGTTTGGCATTGGTTACGATTGTAAACAAGCCGGTTCAAAACAATTGCCCAACAATTAAAGAAACGTTGAATTTGATAATAAAAGAAGCTTGATATAGTTGAAAATGGCCAATGGGCCAATTGCAGAACGCAACCGAGGTAAGTAATTATTTGATTTAACTTAGGAAATTATCAAAAATATATTATAACCTTAATTATTCACGACTCGCGTTTAAACTCGCTTGTTTTCTATCAGATGCGACTATTTACGTTGGTGGTTTGGACGACAACGTCACCGAAGCGCTTATGTGGGAGCTCTTCGTACAGGCGGGTCCTCTTGTAAACGTACACATGCCTAAGGACCGCGTAACTATGATGCATCAAGGCTATGGCTTTGTAGAATTCATGGGTGAAGAAGATGCTGATTATGCTATCAAAATAATGAACATGATAAAACTGTATGGGAAGCCCATACGGGTCAACAAAGCATCCGCGCATCAAAAGAACCTCGACGTCGGGGCGAATATATTCATTGGCAATTTGGATCCGGAAGTTGATGAGAAGTTATTGTATGATACATTCTCAGCTTTTGGTGTTATACTCCAAACGCCAAAAATAATGCGAGATCCGGAGACTGGAAACTCCAAAGGATTCGCGTTTATTAACTTCGCAAGTTTTGAGGCCTCGGATGCGTCAATTGAAGCCATGAATGGTCAATACTTGTGTAATCGACCCATAAGTGTCTCATACGCGTTCAAAAAAGACGCAAAAGGTGAACGGCATGGTTCAGCCGCTGAGAGATTACTCGCCGCGCAAAATCCACTCTCGCAGGCGGATCGTCCGCATCAATTGTTCGCAGATGCACCGCCGATGGGTTTAATGCCGCCTGGTATGATGGCTCCACCACCACCACCAGTGATGATGGCAGGTATAATGCCACCACCTCCACCAACGCCATCGAATATTCAACCGCCACCACCACCACCAGTTCCACCTCCTTCTGCATTCCCCACTGGAATCCCACCGCCACCATTACCACCAGTACAACCACCATTACCTCCGGGTGCTCCACCAACTGGTGCACCCAGTCGACCACCTCCGCTTCCACCAATGCCGCCAAGCACAGGACCTGGTCAACCACCACCGCCAAGGATGATGCCGTCTTGGCAAGGCACCGGCGGTGGATTCCCTCCACCCGGCCACCACCACCACCAACAGGAGCACCACCATTCCCCAATTCATTTCCACCTCCGCCGCCGCCAAGTACAAGACCACCGCCACCGCCGCAGAACTGGAGACCTCCGCCACCTTCTGCTTTCGCTCCCAGGGGACCACCGCCACCTCCTCCGAACTTCGAAGAGGGTAACTGGCAGTAACACTTTCAACCCAATCATCAAAATGAAAGTTAAACTTATAATAATAAAACATGAATATAAATTACTCTCGAATCTACGTGAATGATAACTCGCCCGAGTCACCCTCGACGCGGTCCTGCCACTGATCGGAATCACTCAACTCCAGGTCATCAATCGGCATGCTGGGTCCTTGTAACACATAGCTATTATTCTCAGGCGTGACTGGCAATTCTGGTAGATAGAATGACAGCGAAGAGTCTAACTTATTCGGCGACTGCGCCAATCGATTCATTCCTTCAATAGCGCGTTGATTATGCGGATCCAGACGCAACGCTGCGTTGTAATGTGTGAAGGCTTCTTCGTCCTTCTGCAGGCGGCTTAAATTCTCGGCGAGCAGTTGATGCATTTTGGATGATGGGTATTTTTCAACGTGTTTCTGTAGGAGATTGCATGCTTCCTGATATCTTTGATCCTGATCCAAGTATTCTACGAATAAACACACGGCGGGCGAGTAGGATGGATCATCAGCGATTGCTTTCTCCAAAAGACCACGAACTTTACCGTTTGTAGATGAATCTTTCATGATTACCGAAGCATAAAGCTAAAATAACAAAATATTAAGTAAAACGATTTTAATTCAATTTATGGTTGTGTACTTACAGTTAATGCTTGCGGTGAATTATTCAACACCTTACAAGCATTCGCTGCTATCGTCAACCCTTCGCGATATCGCAACAAAACAAAATTTGCTTCCACCAAACCATTATGCCCTTCAAATCGTTGCGGCGCATGATGAATCGCGTCTTTAAAGTGTAGCAATGCTTCCACATGCTTTGATAATGCAAGAAATGTGTGGGCTTTTAATAGTAACGCTTCCACATTACATTTCTGCATTAAACACGCCTGGTGACCGAAATACGCAGCTTTCTCATACTTTTTATTCGCATACATATACCACCCCATGACGATCCAGTGCTCACATGCCCAGCGAGATGTCTCCAACTCAATAGTCGCTAATCTTTCCAACTCTCGCAAGTCTTCCTTCTCTCCTGAACGAGCTAATAATGTTCCTAACAAGTCACGCCCTGTGATAAACCCGTTGTCTAACTGGACGACTCTCTGTAAGGTTTTCAACGCCATTTTTTCATTGCAGAGATAAACGTAACAATATGCTACTGTTACCAATAGGTTAACGTTTTCTCTCAATGCGTCTATGCTCTTAAAAGTGTTGATTGCATTTAAATACTCTTTGGAATGCATCTGTGCTTGACCACGCAACCAAATATTAATCCAGTTGTGATCTGATGTGGCTTCAATCATCAGCGAGTTCACTTCGATGCCTTTCACGCCGAGTTTTAGTAGTTTCTCAGCTGCTAGAAGCGCGCAACTTGATTCACGTAATACTTCTTTGTAGCACGTCGCTGCTGAGCGTTCTAAACCAGCTTCCATGTATAAATCTCCAAGTGCCATGTTTACTTTAGGAATTCTTGTTCGTGCTGGTACTGTTTGCAAAATTTCAATTGCTTTCTGTGGTTGTTTCATGTTTATCCTACATAGGTACATTTTATATTTGATGTTAATTTCTATGTCTTTTTGTTGTTCTTTCTGACTGATATTGGAATTGTTTTGATTGTTTTCTGGAGTGCTTGTGGAATTTGCTTTGGTTGACTTGTTTTTTGCAATGTATTTACGAATTTGCAATGCTTTGCTGTATGCATTGTCTGCTTGCAGGTATTGTTGGGTATGGTATAAAGCATCTGCATATAACATGTTGATTTCATACTTTGTTTGTGGAGTGATGTCTTGTTTCAATTCGGAAAATGATAATGTTAATTCCGCCTGGAAAATAGTATTTCAGGTTATAATTTTTAGTTTATCAGAGAAATCGAGAAAAACTTACTAAATGAATAACATTTGTGTGTAGTTCTTGTTCGTATAAGGTCTGTAGTTGTTTTAACGCGTTCATTTTTAATAAATTGTGAAATGCGAATGATTGAGATTCAAAAAATTAGAAGTTGTTTTCGCTCCGTTGATGAATGTCACTTGCTGTGTTGAGAAATGACCGTAAATCTGCAATACAATAAAATCATGTGTTGTAAGATTTTGTAGTAAATATTTGTATGATAATACTAAAAATGTATAAATAATTAATAAATTATGTCAATATTAAAAGAAAATGTGTTTCTATACTAAAATTAATATAATTTATAAAATATATTTATTAAAATAATTTGTGATTTTTCTTGGATTTTACAATTTTGTTTGAGAGTTTTACATGTTTCGCCCTCAAAAATAACATAAAACGTTTATAATCATGAGTTAGCACAAATTCTAGTCAAATATTTACTTGTTATAATAAAATTATAATTTTGTTCCCAATCAATGATTTATACACCCAGTTTAATTCCAAGGTCAAATCTAGTAAAAAAGTTTTTTAAATCAAGAACCTGGAGGAGTGAGAAATTAAGAATTTGCAGTTATAATGTAGGCAACCCAACATACAGCTCGTTTTTACACCAGGCACTACATATATTCAATATTGTTGCAATATTATTAAAACAACTATAATCTTTATTTAAATTTAGCAAAAATAACATAAAACGTTTATAATCATGAGTTAGCACAAATTCTAGTCAAATATTTAGTTGTTATAATAAAATTATAATTTTGTTCCCAATGAATGATTTATACACCCAGTTTAATTCCAAGGTCAAATCTAGAAAAAACCTTTTTTAAAACAACAACCTTGGAATTAAACTGGGTGTATAAATCATTCATTGGGAACAAAATTATAATTTTATTATAACAAGTAAATATTTGACTCGAAATTGTGCTAACTCGTCGTGATAAACGTTTTATGTTATTTTTGGTAAGTTTAAATAAATATTATAGTGGTTTTAATAATATTGCAACAATATTGAATATATGTAGTGCCTGGTGTAAAAACGAAACATGTTAACTCAACATATAAAAATTGTAAATCCAATATTCACGTAAAGTATATAAATAAATATTTCAAAATATACAATGGATTACGTATTCACAAATGAAAGTAATAATATCAAGAAATTTTGTTTCAGCCAATTGCATCTTCCGATATTTTTTTATTCAAAAAATTAAATATTCTCTACATATTATAATAGTATCATATAGTTCGTTTCGGTACTCATCGCATTACTAAAAATAATACACAATCTTCTTATAACTACAGGTTGTTTGTTCAATGTTTCAATCCACGCATACAAAACTTCAACTCGTTTTACCATAATTATCAAATATCTTTGGTTTGTGCACAACGTTTCTTTTGCTCAAAATACAACATGATAAAAACTTAATTACGCCTTAAAACTATGTCATAGAACCGTAGATGATTAAAATGATTGACAAAAACGTATACGCAATAGAATATTTAAGATTAATACACTTTGTCATTGAAAAATAATTCATAATGATCATAGAGAATTCATAGATATAACAACAGATCAATATGAGTCACATGACATAACACTAATATAAAATATGTTTTCTCAATCTTATTCCTTTCGATACTTTGGCATATGTTCTTGTATGGTTTCTCATACACACTTTACTTTCACTTATGCTAATATTGGGGTTGTAATGCTATAATGTTCGTAATATTCATCCTGATTGTGTGATGTGATGTTACAAATTGTTTCAATATTTAGATGCATTTTGCCCAGGCTTTTATGTAGTTATCTGCGAATCGCAATAGCAACTCGTCACTAATTTGAGTTTGGTGATAATTGTTTCCAAAAACACTAGAGTACTAATCAACTTCTCTGATAAATACTAGAATAAAATTGAAATACAATGGTAGGTAGTACGAGAGGGTGAGTATAAGCTAAGTAAAGTTAAGTAAACACTTACTGTACGCTATACCCTCACAATATCGCCAAAACGATATTTTTACTAAACCATTGCAAGTCAATGCAAGTATTTGTCAAGCCTGATGTGGATAGCTATTTCGACCATTAGAGGTCTCATCAGCACACCTACTGGCTTGACAAATACTGCATTGACCTGCCATGGCTTATATCGTTATATCGTTTTGGCGATATTGTGAGGGTATAGCGTACAGTAAGTGTTTACTTAACTTTACTTAGCAAATACTAGAATAAAATGTTGTTTAAAAATCTCGAATCTAAATCACAAATTGGTTTGTTTGCTTTCGATGTTTGCAATCAAATGTAAATTTAAACGTTTTGAGCACTTATTTTGGAAGATATAACAAATGTTTGTAAATTATTGAAACAAAAAAGTGGATAACTCTTGTTTGAAAGATGTTTTGCTTACAAAATAACAATTTAAATAAACTTACTCATAATCTGCACAAAAATTGAGCATAAAAATTGTTTATTTTTGCTTTTTGAAGCAAAAAATGAAATAAAATAAGTTTCTTTGTAAAAAAGAATAAAAGGTTGAATAACTAGATTAATTTTAGCAAGTTGATCATAAAATGATGCAATTTTTGTTGTTTTTTTCTAATAAAATTGAAATTTTTAGCATAAAATAAACGTATACGTATCTAAACTGTACGTTAATTGTTTTTTCTTACTATTTTTATCAAAATCAATTAAAAGAAGATTAAAATACTTCCAAACAAGAGTCACCCAACCCTAAAAACTTTGGCATTGTCACATTATCTCATAATTGAACAATTCAAATCGAATACGAGTAAAAACCGATCAAAATCTAAAACCTAAACTTTCAGTCACTAATCGAACTGCTATGTCTGATGTCCCCTATCGTCGAATTATGCCTCGTCTTCCTACACCCTTCCTCCAGCTCCAACCGCGGATTAATGCTGTTCGACAACGCATCAGTTTTCTTAAAATCAATCGTCACATACGGCTTACCCTTAACCGGACTATCTCCGCTCAACGGCCGCGTCTTACTCACGCTCACCGGGCCACAACCGCTCGGCTCAAGATCCAGCTCGACATAATTCACCTCCTGCGGCTCATCTATCACAAAATTACCTCCAATCACCCCGTTGATATTCCCACTGGACGGATCGTAGCAATCCGCCAGTGCAAGCGCATTCGCATCGATATTCGCATAGCAATGCACATCCTCCAGACAACTCTGACACTCCGGTAAAGGTGAGAGTGGAAACTGCGGCAAGATAATCGTCTCCACCATGTTATTTTCATCTACGTCTTCGGTTTCATGCGAGATCTCTTCAATGGTTACAGATTGAAGCAATGGCTTCACAGGTGTGGTAGTGCTACAAACATTCATGGTATCAATGTTCATATAAACGTTTCTATTCGCGTGAGTGTCACCATTTGGTAGATTAATGTACTGATGACCTACCTCTGTTTGGTTAATGACTTCAGAGTTGAGATAAGCATGTTCGGATGAGTTTTGTCTTACTGAAACAGAATTCCCACTGCTGCTTTTGTTATTGTTGGTTTCCGGATGTGGAATTTGTGGATTTGTAGCGTAAGGTGGTGGAGTTGTTGAGCCATTACTGGTTATACTCCCTGGGCGACTCAATGGCGGCCTACTTACAGTTCCATTACTCACAGGATTCAAATATCCCTCAGGTGAGTTAACAGCGCTTCTTCTTTGGACTTCTCTTTGGTTCTGATTGCTTTGTTGCATGTTTAGCAGACTATTCACATCCAGACCTTCTTCACTCATGTTTCTAACTTGGATATTATGCTGTAGAAGATTGAATAATTGCTCAGCTTTCTTGCATTTGAATGCAAATATGCCTTCGCCAGTGGCACAGCGTCTTCCACACTCAAAACTGAAGATTTCACTATCAAATCCATACTTTCGCAGGTTTCTGAGTGACCATGTTGTGGGTTTTTTTGTTCTTTGGTAGAAACACAACCCAACATACAGCTCTTTATACCTGGTATTACATATATTCAATATTGTTGCAAAATTATTAAAACAACTATAATCTTTATTTATATTTATCAAAAATAACATAAAACGTTTATAATCATGAGTTAATACAAATTCTAGTGAAATATTTACTTGTTATAATAAAATTATAATTTTGTTCCCAATGAATGATTTATACACCCAGTTTAATTCCAAGGTCAAATCTAGTAAAAAAGTTTTTAAAAACAAGAATTTGCAGTTATAATGTAGGCAACCCAACATACAGCTCTTTACACCAGGCACTACATATATTCAATATTATTGCAATATTATTAAAACAACTATAATCTTTATTTATATTTATCAAAAATAACATAAAACGTTTATAATCATGAGTTAGCACAAATTCTAGTCAAATATTTACTTGTTATAATAAAATTATAATTTTGTTCCCAATGAATGATTTATACACCCACTTTAATTCCAAGGTCAAATCTAGTAAAAAAGTTTTTAAATTCAAGAACCTGGAGGAGTGAGAAATTAAGAATTTGCAGTTATAATGTAGGCAACCCAACATACACCTCGTTTTTACACCAGGCACTACATATATTCAATATTATTGCAATATTATTAAAACAACTATAATCTTTATTTATATTTCTCAAAAATAACATAAAACGTTTATAATCATGAGTTAGCACAAAGTCTAGTCAAATATTTACTTGTTATAATAAAATTATAATTTTGTTCCCAATGAATGATTTATACACCCAGTTTAATTCCAAGGTCAAATCTAGTAAAAAAGTTTTTTAAAACAAGAACCTTGAAATTAAACTGGGTGTATAAATCATTCAATGGGAACAAAATTATAATAAACCTTAAGTTTCTGATGATGCCCACAGGGCGAAACATGTAAAACTCGCAAACAAAACTGTAAAATCCAAGAAAATCACAAATTATATTAATAAATATATTTTATAAATTACTACCATGGATTACGTATTCAACTTAGAAAATAATAAAAAAAATATGTACATATTAACCATGCAAGAAATAAAGTTGAATATTTTAAAACTAAAATACTTTAGTTTTGAAAGTAATATTCTCTTCTCATAAATAATATAAATCCTATAAAATAATTTCATTAGTTTTTGTTGCAGCTCCAGGTTTAGGACTATTTCTGACAGCTTACGCTAAAGCTAAGTTCACAGTGATGTAATAAACTTTGCTAGGTTACACCAAATGTTGCAAACCAAAACTGTACTCACATTTACACCGGCTATATTTTCGTCGTGTTGAAATTTTGCTACAACACGCCGTGAAACTCACAATCAAATCAAGGTCATTGCGTACGGCACAATTCGACTACAAGTTCGCCTTCTTCCTAGTCGCCCGCGGCAGCCCGCACAGACAAAACTTACTGACGAAGGCGACGACGGTGACGTTCAAGCCCCATCAGTTGCCATCAGCACTCCTCAAATCCAGCGAAACTATCATCAAAATTGGAGCAAGAACACTGCTAGAAATTTCTGCGTTTCCGGTCGCAAGCGCGAATATAACCCTTTGTTGGCAGCAGCGATGTCCAGTACGTCCAGCTAGAGTGGCCGCAACCACTGGAAGGCTTTTGCTCGCGGGCGACGACGGCGAACGATGCGCGCGGCGGGGACCTAGCCACCTCGTGCGTAACAATGTCAGCAGGCGGCGCGTCGGGGGGCGGCAGGCTCAAGTCGTCGCCGAAATCACCCAGCACCATCAAGCACCACGGGCCCATGAAGGCCACCCTGCCGATGGCGTCACTACTGAAGCAATCCAGCCCGCTGCGGTCTTCGGTCAGTCCCACGTTCTCCACTGGGCTTGGGTGGAAACCAAGTGAGGTGCATTCAGGTCTCAGGAGTCCTGGTTCTACAATTAGTAAAGGTAACTTGCTTAAAACTATTAGTAACATAAAAACCTTAAATTTTAACTTGTTTTTTGCAGGAAAAGTAAGAACAAAGACTGGAACATTAAACTGTATACGAAGATCAGCGTCGTTGGACGCGATTTACCTGCAGGGGCAGTGGCCCAGAGAGAACCTCTATGTACCACAACTGTTGCAAGTGGATAAAGCCACCCAAACCGAGGAGAACGAATGGTTCGAGTGCAGGAAAGTCCTACTAATGGGTAGTTCAGGCGAAGAAAACGCTAACAATTCAAATACAAATGGAAATGATAAACTAGAAAAGTATATCAAGCATAAGATTCAACGAGGTGCTGCTGGAAGCGGTGGTCCAGCTCATGGCCTGTCCGGAAACCGATCTCAGACGTCGCCGACAGGAGGCTTCGCGCCTGTTGTAGGTGATCATACGCTGAACACTAGTTCACAAACAAATACATGTAAGTTAATAAACCGTACTACATAATAATATTTACATGAATTAATTCTGGTTTATTTTCCAGCGTGTTTAATGCCGATACCAAGAGCTTTACCGGTAAACATTCCGATAAAACCACTGAGCAAACCAACGATGCGCAACTCTGTGGAAGGGCTGAATCAGGAGATTGAGAGGTTGGTGCTGAAGTCAGACGGGCTCGCCTGCTCCACGTCGGATAAGCACGACGAATTCGATAAGGTGTGTGTGTGTAACAGAACAGAAACATTAATTGCATACATAAATTCATTGTTTTTAATTACTAGACCACGCCTGAAGGCCACCGGGCGCCATTCCCGGAGTTGTATAGAAGCACCAGGTCGGTGAACACTCAGACGCCGTCTGCCAATGATCTCAGAGGAAGTTGCCATTCATCAAGTGAGTAAACTCCACTGGAATAACAATTTTATTCTTCTTTCTACTAACAATTTCTTAAATGTTTATACTTAATTAACACCTGGGGTAGGTCCACCCTCTAGGGATTCCGTATCACCGCTGATGATACCGGGTTTAGACACGTCACCGAGTGATGCAGGTTAATTACGCTTTAGTGATTAATTAGTTACACTAGTTTATCTATTATATTACATTTCAAATGTTTTAAATTATAAATATTCGTAGGTGGATCTCGTGGGTCAAGTCCAGATCAAGAATACTCGACGAAGTTGGGCACCTCGCCGCGAATTTTTCTCGCGCGTGGACCACCAGACGGCTGCGAACGGGTGAGCATGCGTCCGGAGGGTTCCATGACGCTGCTGCCCCCCTCGGAGCACCATGTGCTGTTACCGCAGCCCTGCACCGCCTTCCGGCTGCAGCCAAGTCAAGGCTCCGCGTTCCAACTATTGCAACCAGCGGCGGCGGCGATTATGCCCGCCGATCCGCAGCCGGATTTAATTTAGCATTGCAAAACCATCAACAAATCTAAGTTATCGAAGCATGGGCGAATGTTAGCCAACCAAACTAATATGACAATTTTAAGATTTAATATGGCGTAAATATTGTTGAAAGTTGACTTTTTAAAAATTCATTCAGACGATTTAAAAATAACGAGCTTGAAAGGACGAAAACACTACTTGTTAAACATTGCGTAAAAATTAACACTTGTTGGTTGAATACTTCAAAATTTAGATTTTCAAATTGTTTATATGTATGTACATTAAAAGCGAACACACAAACTGAAGAAACGCGCATGGACGAAGAACGAAGAAGAAATTTCAAAATATTGAAGTAGAGAAGTTGTTTAAAAATTTAAGTAACAAAAACTGGGGGACTGATACATTTAATTAAAACTAATGTAAGGAGAAATATTTTAGAGGTCAATTAGTGATTCAAGACGATGAGATGATGAAAAACGAGACAAAATGAGAGGACGAAACGGTGTATAAAATGTAATCGTTACACAATTATTTTTGTAAGAAAAGCGAAGTATGTAAGAGTAAAAAGAAGTTATTAAAAGTATATTAACGTAGAGGCAAGAAGGACAAGCATATTAGCAGAAAGGAACATTCCATGTAAGCAGTGAAAATTTAAAATTTACATTAGCAGAAAAAAAGGTTTTAAAAAGTCAGAACACGAAGCTAGAGGAAGAAAATGAGCAGACTGGGAAAACGATGCTGTGATTAAACATTTACCACACTCCCGCATTCTGTGTTTTGTCTAAAATCTTATAATTCAAAATGTCCGTCGGTTTCATTTCTACTGTAGGCTTGGAAGCACAGAATACAAAACAATTTACTTGAAATGTAAGATGTATGTGACATATCCGCAAAATACATGGACTGAACGATGCGAAACATCAAGCGTAGATATTTTCATTTTCCAGATGTTTTTAAAGTAAAGGTATGTATGTTTTAAAGCAATTGTTGCTTAATATATACCATTACTTAACATTAAAAGTAAAAAACAAGAATTACCTTGTAGTTGTATAGATGTACTAAGGAAATTTTCGGTCCGGGAACATCTTGAAGCAACAACTTCGGATTTTCTTTTTTTTATTTTAATTTATATGTAAAGGGACACGAATAATCTAGAATCGCAGCTTCTGGAAGAACCACTTGTTCTTGCCAGACTTGTACCTTTCCTCGAGTTTAACACGCGTCTGGAAGCGTACCTTCTTGCGCTTCATTGGGTCCTTCAGATCCTTAGGCTGGATCTTCATCTCTGACGCCAGATCGACCGTGTAACGGGTGGGCATCAGGTGATTGTAATTCAGGACCTGCAAAAAAAATGGTAGGCCGACATTAAATCTACAATTCTTACATAGTGTAAAGGATAACTGAGTATTAAATTACTTCAGTTGGTAGTGCATGTTAACAGATAATCACTAGTTCATTTCGTGGTGTTGTTTTGTCATCATTTGAATTGAAAATTTGAAAAATATGATAATAAAAATTTGATTCTTACCTTAATGAAAGGCTTGATCTTGGAACGCTTGTGAATCTTGACTTTGCCCATGCGTTTGTGCACCTTGCGTGGATAACGGTCGATGCCAGTGACGAGCGCGTGCCCGTACTGTTTATCGGACGTGCCATTGTCGTAATTCGTCATTACGATAGCCTTGCGGCCAGCGTACCGGCCACTGAGGACCAGCACGACTTTGCCCGCTTTCATAATCTTACCCATCTTGCTGTAACATAACAAAAAGAAATTTTATTATACAAACTCACCAGCCAAACACGTTCACTTGTTTTCCGCAACTATAACCTAACATCCCGCACTCTTCCCAAAGCAACAGAATTTAAACTTGAATTAAAAACAATTCGGAATGAATGTCGCCTAAATATGAACACAAACTAAAGTATCTATTACGAATTGAGCGATGGTAAGTTAATTCAGGGCGCATTGCTCGCGGATGGTTTAAATAAAAGAAGATTTTCGAACGATGAAGAGGAACCGTACTTACGTCGTGTGTTATGATGGCAGAAAAGACTCGGCGGCAGTGCTGCCAACCCTACCTCCTCACCGGCCATCTGACTGACACCAGCGCCAAACGGCATAAACTTGTACTAGTCACTCATATTCAAATTATTCGAAAGCGTGTTGCGCAAAAATTAATATTTCGTCTACGACTGGAGCAAACAGAGTTAGGCGCGATAGAGGTGTACTAGGAACGCACGCCTCAAGGTTGTCGGCACGCGGTAGTCGGCACACTTTCGCTGATACGGCAACAAGCAACAACAAATTGTGCGACTGTTGTTACTAACATAAATACTGCCAGCGCGCTGCATAATGGTGCAAAAAAACGCGAAAGAATTCCATTAACGGTGCGGAAGGACTCACGATGCGATAATGCCACGCGAGTTTGATGTGTCCAGCGGCAATAATGCGCACAACTGTCAGAAAAACAACTTGAGCGATTTGTAACAGTAGTTTTAAGTGTCAAATTGGCGTTTTATTGGAAATTATTAGTGCTGAACGTGTATTCCAGGTAAATTTCGACTTAAATTAAATGTTATAAATGCCAAAATCGAAGATTTAATTAATTTGATTTTAATATGATTTTGATTTTCAATCCTGCCAACCTATAAATTTATTGTGTATATTTGGTAGCCTAATATGAATACATATAAACAAGTTTAATTAATCATACGATATTTCTAATGCTTGCAGAATGATAACAGTCACTGTTATCAGTTATGAATATTCAGTGTTGTACATTAACATTAAAAATATTGAATTTATTTTTAAATTTTAACCTTTTGACATCTCGACACTGTATAATTGGTTGCATAGCTGATCATTACGCAATAAATTCAATTTTTATTTCTTGTTTGGTCTACGCGTTAAAATTCAGATACAATTAATTAATAGGCGTGTAAATATTTACACATTGAGTGCTGGTGCACAGCTGGTTGCTATTATCAGCAATTACAATCAGCGTTATCAATTTATTTCGGGGTATTCACAGCATATTCATGAATGTGACAAAACAACGCCATCTTAATTAGGCTAGTTTTAATGTTGCGTTACAATATGGCGGATTAACAACTTTATATTTAGTTTTTTTGCGACCTTCGCAGGTGTTAATAATTTAATGCCTCTGTTGTTGATTAAAAGTCTGTGGTATTTATTATTCATGCGCGTCACACGCGCTTATCTTATCAGGCAAACAGGCGCTATTGAGAACGCTTCGCATCACAATGGAGAACATTATCAGTTCACACATTATCACCGGTAAATCTGTCCGTTAGATCAAATTCCCATCCGTTGGGGTGACGATGTGGTGCTTGTGTTTATAAATAACTGATAATTAGTAATACTGAAACAATTAATTAGTCATCCAGGTTTAGTAAATGTGAGTTTTGTGGTGTGACTAGGTGTAAGCCAAGATGGCGTCCGTATGGAAGACGCTTATGCGTCGCAAGATAATCCAGCAACCAGAAGAAACCAGCTTGGGACGTGTTCTTGGCACCTGGGACCTAACCTTTTTGGGGGTGGGAGCTACCCTTGGCATTGGACTCTATGTTTTAGTAGGGAAAGTTGCCAGGGAGACTGCTGGACCCTCAATTGTTTTATCATTTTTGATTGCTGCTATTGCATCTGCTTTTGCTGGTAAGTTGAAATTAGGTTATGTGATTGAGGTTATGTTTATGAAAAATTATGTTTTAGGATTGTGTTATGCTGAATTTGGTGCTCGGGTACCACGAGCCGGTTCGGCTTACGTCTATAGCTATGTGTGTATTGGTGAAATAGTTGCCTTCATCATTGGATGGAATCTGATTCTTGAGTATGTGATTGGTTCGGCATCAGTCGCGCACGGAATGAGTTTATATGTGGATACAATGGTAAACGATTCACTAAAACGGCAGTTTATTGACATTGCACCGATTCACATCAGTTTCCTGGCGGAGTATTTCGATTTTTTGCATTTGGCATCTCAATTATCCTCTCACGTAAGTTTTTTTTTCAAAAATTAAAAAAATTAAAATGGCGATTAAAATTTTGAATGTTTTCGTTATTATTTACAGTTGGTTTAGCTGTAGGGGTAAAAGAAAGTTCCTATCTGAATAACATCGTCACCATTTTGAATATAGCCGTGGTGATATTTGTTTTTATTGCTGGGGGGATGAAAGCCCAATGGAGTAATTGGACAATTGCAAAAAGTACTGATGATAGTATAGGAAAAGGTGGATTTTTTCCATTTGGTCTCACTGGGATGATAAAAGGTGCCGCCACTTGTTTCTATGGTTTTGTGGGCTTTGATTGCATTGCTACCACTGGTGAAGAAGCAAGGAATCCACGAAGGAGTATACCAATCGCCATTTTGGCATCGTTGGGTATAAGTTTAATAGCGTATTGTGGGACATCAGCAGTGGTAACTTTAATGGTGCCTTACTATGAACAGGTAGACAACCAAATATACAAATTTAAGTATTTTCACATTTATTTTGTTTAAATTCCTAAGGATATCAATTCACCATTACCACATGCCTTTGATGTCTACGATATGGCTACAGCCAAATGGATAATCACAATTGGAGGATTATTTGCCCTTTCAGCAAGCCTCTTCGGCGCCATGTTTCCCCTACCACGGATAATCTACGCAATGGCTAACGATGGTCTTATTTTCCGTTTTCTTGGTATCGTAAACGCAAGATTTGCAACGCCTATGATTGGCACTATCCTTGCCGGAGTTCTTACTGGAATTATCGGTGGTTTATTCGATCAAGGTCAATTGATTGACATGATGTCAATTGGCACATTGCTGGCATATACAATCGTAGCTGCATGCGTTCTTATTTTGAGATATTCCGTCAGCGTTGGGAAGGTGCACATACACACAGATTATGATGACGATGCTGTTGGGTCCCTGGGACAAAATGGCGGATGGTTCAGTGTGTTGATGAACAGTGGAAGTGTGAAACGTCCAACGGAGAAAAGTGAATTTATGGTCACGATACAAGTTGGTTTTTATTGTATGTTGATGAGTGAATGATAATATTAAGAAGGTGTAATAATAGGTTATGTTTTTTTATAGGTATACTTGCTATTTTATGTGGATTTTGTGCAAAGTACCTTCCTGATGATATCAGCAACGGAGAAATTTATGCTATAGTGCTGCCATCTGTTGTCGTGACGTTGATGATTTTACTGGTGATCTCAATGTGCTTACAACCACAAAATGATACAAATCTGTCTTTTAAGGTTATATAATCATATCTTTTATATTTCCTAAGTATTTTTTTTTAAATGTCGATATTACAGGTTCCGCTCGTACCGATAATCCCCTGCTTGAGTATTCTAGTCAACATCTACCTCATGATGGCATTAGACGTCGCCACATGGATCCGTTTCGGCGTCTGGATGGCAATCGGTATGTTATCACAATCCTAACCACAATTAATCGCTTTTAACTTAACTTATACATTGCACAAGAGACATTTAATCGCATGTTCTTTTTTGCATTCTTTGCATGCTTGCTTGCGCACAATTTCCACTCACACATCAACAACATCAACAACGCCTAATATTCACCACACAAAAGGGTTGCCTATCTATTGGTGTTCAGCGCGGCCATGCTGTGGCAGTAAAGGCAAAACAATGCCGATTGGTTGCGTTAAAAACCGTAACTTGAGCGAGGGCAGCACTTATGTCAACTTTGGTTATCTACACGGCGAAGAATGTGCTCCCGAGAATAACGAAATGATAGAGAGACGAACTGTCATTTTATTAAATAATAAAGATAAAGAAAACAAAAAAGAACGTGAACAACAAAAGGAATCGAAATCAAGCGCTGATTCAGATAGTGGAGCATATTTTGAAGATACTGAACAGGATCAGGAAGTTCAAAGTACGAAAAGTAATAAAAGTGATAGGAGTAGTCACGTGTTGACGAAGTATGAAAACGTAACAATTGTGGAACCGGAAGAGATCGAAGATAAATCCGTGCAGGATGTTTTGGGTACTTTGGACCACATGCTGGAGAAGGAAGAGGAAAAGTGTGGGGATGGTGGTTTAGGTGTGCCTAGGTTTAGGAATCGCAGCGTGTCGATTGTGTCGAGTGTTTCTAACAATTCGAATAATCTACCGATGGAGGTGAGTGTAGTAGCGATTATACATCACGAGGATGAGCAGGAGCCTATTTTGGAGGAGATTGAAACTCCGGAGGAACCAGAACCAGAGGAGAAGTTGACTGAAGCTACTAATGGTAGATTGATTCAAAGCGTTCAAAATTTAACAGCACAGGAAGATAATTCTGATGTTGATCCAAAGGAAAATGAAGAAGTTGATGAATCAAAAGAAGAAGAGGAAAATAAAAAAGATGATAAAATACTGGAAGACATTTTACCTGTGCCTCCGCCGCCGCCATTGTTACTTAAACCTGCTTTACCCCCTCCACCTCCACCTCCATCAATGTCCCAATTTGAAATATTCAAAGCAGAACCCCCTCCTAAACTAGATTATCTCGCTGCACGTTCCACTCTGAAAAAATCAACACGTGCTATCACCCCACCACCTTCCGCATCTTCCACACCAATAGGCACGCCGCTTTCCACCAAACGCCGTATGACTCCATCCAAATCAGAAACCGATTTATACACACCCCCTGAAGATAATATAAAACTAACCTCTGAAAACATCAAACAATTCAAAAATAAACTCGCAGCTGATTTGGGACACATGCCCAACAACTTGAAGTTCAACGTCACAGCGTCTCCCTACTACCATTCAGTAACTCTGGATAGAAAACCAACAACAAAGAGAAATGCCAGCATTGGTGGTAAAAGCGAAAGTGTTGATGATCTTAACTTATCAGTGCCGAAAAGTGATGAAATGCCGCGGAAAAACAGCGGTGTGGTTGATGATAGTTTGAAAAGTGTCAACATGGACGCGATTAAAGCAAGACTCAGTGTATTATACAACACTAGGAGTGATGCAGATCCTGCTACTTTGTATAGAAACCGAAAAAAAGTTGATTCAGCTACCAAAGTGGAATTTGGTGAGAGTGGCGTTTAGGAATCAAACATAACCTAAAATTTGAACTATTATTACCTATTTCATCTGTTGTAAATTGTAAATTGTTGTTATTTCTTAACCTATACTTGTAAGTTGTTAACTAGTCGTAAGATTCTAACCTAGACTTGGTTTCTATTCCTACACTCATGAAACTTATCACGAAAAACACAGACTTGCATGTTTTATTAATATTCACACTCAATTTAAGTATTATAACCTTTATAATGTGTTTTCAAGCGTTTTTTTTTTAACCTAACATGGCGGCCATTTTGTTTTCTTTTGCAGGCACCGCCATGTACGCGTTTTACGGCTTTCCGAATAGCTACAATACATACGCTTACTATGAAATGTTAGAATAATAAAAATATCTATGAATATTTATGTGTTTATTTTTTTTTCTGATTGAATTTTTTTATTTTTGATTTATACGACGTAGTATTTCTTCTTTGGGATTATTTTTAGTTCTGGAGTGAAGTATAAATCACAAGGCCCGCGCCCCACTACTTTTTTATTACGTCTGGGTCCTGTAGTGGTAGTTGCAGGCGGCATGTCTTTCTGGGTATCATCCAGGATAAGTTGATAGTTCCATGAGATGCGTTCCGGGCGACAAGTGCATTTATTTTGAATTTTACTTTGTGTTTCATTGTGATTTTGTACTGTAGAAGGCATAACTTGAATTTTTATATTTTTTTTTTTCAAAAAAATGTCAAAAATGTCAAACAGCAACAAAAGTAATTTTAATCCTGTCTAACAATTTGACAGTTGTCATACAGAATATAAAATGAAAGTGCGAAGGTCAAACTATCACCGTGAAAGATATTTAAGGCAGTTTTTTGCCACGCCTCCAAACCGCCATTGGTGTTTTGACTACATTCGTAGTCAAGAAATCCTAGTGAATACAAAAAGTGGTGGGGTGAGAACATTTGAAAAGCAATTTGGTACACGTATCTCCCGGTTGACTAAACGCCTCAAAGATAGAGAGCGCTTGCGTCGCGCGAAAATCAAAAACGATAATATGGTCATTGATCAGATTGCTGCATGTCCCAGCTCGGAAATCTCTGAATTGGGTTCTGTGTATGAGTATTATGATGTCGAACAGGAGAATTTACGTACAGGGGTGCAGATGGTTCGTGATGTGGAGTCGGATTTTGATCTGCGTGTACAGGCAAAGATTTGGCGTTTTTTCAAACCGAAAAATATTGGTAAAAGGAAAGTCGTGCGCATTATAGGTGTTTGGGAGGTTATGTACGAGGAGCATATGTTGCAGAAGTTAAAAGTGTGGTATACAAGGAAGGAACTGCGGAAATCTCATGAAGCGAAGTTTACTCATAGATGTAAAGAGTTTTTTCGGAAAGCAATGATGGTAGTATATGTTATTATTATGTATTTTGACTTTGTTATTATTTTTTTATGATTTTAGCATGGGAGGAGTAATATTGTCTTGACCAAAACAGAATTTTATCTATGTTTACTTTTGTATGAGTTTAACATGTCACAGTTGGTTAGTTTTGGTCACGCCTTCAATATAGGTGGTATTGGTATGTATTTTTGGTTATTTTAGGTTATAAATTACATTTTTCTACTTTTACTTTCAAATTGCCTTTTTTCACTGTTTAGAAACACAAAAAGTGATATTTTATTTTATATTAGGAAAGGCCAAAAGGAGTTTATGTCATGAGATTGATTAAGAGTGAGTGTAGCGGGTGATTAATCAATCGAGTGTTTAACAACGTTTAGTCACGTGATGCTTACGCTATTATTTCTACATCCACGCAATTTACACGTTTTGTACTGCACTAAAGGGAAATGCGTAGGCGCCAACCACACCCCGTGACTAAAACCTATGACTAAAGTACTTTAATCACTGCTTTGGTAGTCTGTGTTTAAAGTATCACTTTTAGTGTCTCAGACCCATAGAAAAACCGACGCATTCGTCACTGGAACCCGCCGTGACTAAAACCTGTGACTAAAGTATTTTAGTCACGGTTTTAGCCATCCGTGTTTAAAATACAACTTTTAGTGTCTCAAAACCATAGAAAAACCGATGCAACTCCCCGTGACTAAAGTCAGTGACTAAAATACTTTAGACACGGGATGAAACTTAAACTTGCTCATTTACATAAATTGAATTTCAATTATTTAAAATTCATAATTTCATGCAAAAACATTTTTTTAATCTCGTGACTAAAATGTCACTTAGCGCACTTGTTACTTAATATAAAAAAAAACACTTACATTTTAGGTGCTGCTGTAGTAATTTACTTCCTGGTCTCCACCCTGGTCCAAATGCCTTTCAACATGTGGATAATCTCAATGGTATCCTATTCAGGTTCACTATCACTCCGCCTATTTTCCGACTGCACGCCCCTTGTATCCGCCATTCGATACCCCATATTCCTTGCGTTTGTAATCGCTGAATCACGACGCTTAATCAATTTTGAAGCGGTGGTCAAATTTCTGTACCTCACTCTTGTAAAAAACACCGTCTGGCAGAACTGCACCTTCCCGTCGGCTAACGAATACTGTGTTCCCTTCCACACTCAATCTGAACACAACGTGCGCTGTTCTGAGCCGCGCACGCGCGATGCAAACTATGAGTTTTTCTCGACGCAGTTCTTCGTGCAGTACGACGTGTTTCACGTGGGTAATGTAGGCAATGAAATCAAGGAAGATGTGAAATACTGGGGTGATCCAGCTGGGAAATATTATGGTCCTGCGCTTGGTATTTTCAGTTTTATTATTGCATCGAATGGGATTGGTATGTTGAAGAAAATCACGATTAAAGCACAGATTATGGTGATATTCCTCGCTGGTATTTGTGTGCTTACTGTTACCATTAATCGATTGCAATCGTTGGATAGATTTGTGTGGAATTATACCGCTATCACCGTCAAGGTATTTTTTTATTTTGTTTATTTTTGTTTATTTTATTTTTTTAATTGTTTTAAAATAGTTTGTGGTGAATTTTATTTCGTTGAGTCTGCAAACAAATAGTCTGCCAATTTTGATGTGGTTGGCTTCAATGAAACCGCCGGATTTGAATCCTGCCACTTGCAGTGTGGTGCATCAAGCTATCAAGTTTTCTGTGTTAATGATTATGAGCATGACTTATTCTGCGTTGGCATTTGATATTGCAAGCAGGTATAATATGGCAAATATTGAATGTTTTACACTTGAAGGTAATTTAAATTAGATTTTTTTACTTCCATTTTTAAAGCGCCGTTTTTTTATGCTTTTAAGACACTAAAAGTTGTATTTTAAACACGAATGGCCAAAACCGTGATTAAAGTACTTTAGTCACAGGTTTTAGTCACGGGAGGTTTTGGTGACTAATGCATCGGTTTTTCTATGGTTTTGAGACACGAAAAGTTGGATTTTAAACACGGATGACCAAAACCGTGACTAAAGTACTTTAGTCACAGGTTTTAGTCACGGCGAGTTCCAGTGACTAATGCGTTGGTTTTTCTATGGGTCTGAGACACTAAAAGTGATACTTTAAACATAGACTACCAAAGCAGTGATTAAAGTACTTTAGTCATAGCTTTTAATCCCGGGGTGTGGTTGGCGCCTACGCATTTCCCTTTACTACAGTACAAAACGTGTAAATTGTGTGGATGTAGAAAAAATAGCGTAAACATCACGTGACTAAACGTTGTTAAACACTCGGTTGATTAACCGCTCGCTACACTCACTCTTAATCAATCTCATGGCAAAAACTCACATTTAACATACTATATTATAAAAGTCATTACTATTAAATCTCACAGATTACTACCCCTTCCGTTAATTTTATTGTATTTTATAGGTTATGACATCGTCTTCACAATGGTACCGGACTTCTTCTCGACATTTCGCTTTTCTGCAATTTGGCAAATGACCTGGCTCGTTTGTATGGTGCTAATTTCCGTAATATACTCAGTATATATGATCCTAGCCGCATCAGACTCCCTCATTCAAATAATCCCTAATGGAAATTCATACGCCACGCTTTTCATGTTTCTAGTCACACTGACTGTAATCGGTTTCCGGCTCATCAATTGTTTTCCCTACGTGTATCAAACGCTAATGGCGTTTGAACTGCGTGGCTTAAACTACATCAATAATTTCAATTTCGGTGTGGTTGTCATTTGTATTTACTTCATATATAAACCATTTCGATTGAGTCATGAATACGAAGTGGTTTTCGGGAGTAAACCGGCCAAGTTTTGGATTATTACATGGCATTATATGATATTTGTTGCGATGGTAAGTTGATAAGCAGAATTAGGTATCATTTGAATGTAATTTTTAAAATCAACAAACAATTTTTAATGTTTGTAGTTTGTGCTAATTTTGACCGCCATTGATTTAGTGGCGCTGGAGACTCACATTATTGCACAGTACATCATAGCAGGTATTTTTATACTGTGTGCATTATGGTTATTATTTCTTAATTGCATTAAATTGGCATACAGGGGAATAAAAAACAAGGTTTGTATAGAAATTAATATAAAATCTTTTTTTTTCTATTTTCACCTTAAAAGTTAAGTTTTTCTATGGTTTTAAGACATAAAAAGTGGTATTTTATACATGGGAGGTCAAAGCCGTGACTAAAGTACTTTAGTCACGGGTTTTAGTCACGGGGTGGAGTTTCCGCCTGTATCTGGGCAGAAACTAGCAAAAAGTGAAAGTAAAAAGTGATTTTTTCGATTTTCTAGAATTTAAGTGATTTATGTTTTCCAACTCGTCGATGGGGACCAACCACCCAAGACCAACGTGAACACCAACGCCGCCTGGAACGAAAGAAACACCTACAGATCCGCTACGACTGCCGTCACAAATGCTTCATCAAAGCCAAACAATTCCAAACAATGCTTGAGCGTCAAAACGTTCGCTTAAAAAAAGTCGAACAACTGAAATCATCCGGTGCATACGCCTGGTACATCAAAGAAACCGTCCTCAAAGAAGAAACAGTGCAATTCTTCAATACCAGCATCACCGAAGAATATTAATTAATTATACATACACATTTACATGGTTTTCTATTTATTTAATAATAATATACACATCTAACATATTTATTCTCTTCGCAAGTTCTGATTTTATTTTATTTTGTAAAACATCTTATTATTTTACGCTTACACATATATTACGCTACTTTTATATACAATTTTATTGTGATTCTTCTTTAGTTGTAGGTTATGTTTAAGTGGAGTGTAATACACGTGTATTGTAAGATTGTAAGCTTATCGGTATGACAATTTGTTGCGTTTAGCGATTACCCTGTACGTTGCGTGTGATTTGCTGCGGTGACGTTTCACAAAGTGAGGTTAGGTGGGCTAACATAACCTAGATCATATATCATGTCATCTTGTAACCTATTCTTCTCGTGTTACACATTTATTACTATAAATTCTAATTTCTAACCTAACTTTGGAAATGACAAAATAATTCTCAATTATTTAACCTCAAAGGAATGTACAATTGAATAAATTAACTATATACACATTATCTCTACAATTTTTAGATTTTTTTTCTTTCATTTTGTAGAATTTAAAGTTTTATTACTATTTGTGCTGGAAAGCAATGTCTTCTCTTCGATTCCGATTGAAGTGCTTGAATGTAAGCCTCCAGAAAGCTATCCGAAAGTCAGGACTATAAAACGCGTAGATAAACGGATTGATCGCCGAGTTAATCCACCCCAGCCAGGTGAGATACCCCATAACAACCTCGGTCCACGCACCCGTTGGAATAAACGGTGTTAGTAGATAGTAAATAAAAAATGGCAGCCAGCATAAAATGAAGCCGCCGACGACGATGCTGAGCGTCTGCGCTGTTTTTGTCTCGCGACGGAAAGAGGAGACGCGCGTGGCTGGTTCAAAGTTCATCACGGATACCTCAAGATGTCCTTCGGTTTTGGGCCGCGTTGTGGTTAGCGATGTGGCGTAGAGCGATGCGTGACGCTGCTGGTGGTGATGGGGTTGCGCTGGCAATGAGTGGTGATCGTGTTTGAAGGAGTAGTTGAGATTCGAGCGTAGCGAGCGTGAGAGGTTAGGTTTGCGTAGTTCGACTACTTGACTCGCGGTGGCGCCGGGGCCAGACGTTGTTGATGTGTGGTTGGGTGTTGTACCGTCTAATGCTGTTTCATTGGTCGTCAAGCTGGAAATATAAAAATTAAAAATGGTAATATTACACTGAAGCGCCACCTATGATTCAATTATCGAACTATAACTATGATTGAATGTCTGTACTTATCCCTATTTTTACTAATATTACAAATGCGAAAGTCCTGATGTTTGTTACACTTTCACGCAAAAAGTACTAAACTGATCATCATGAAAATTTGTACACATATTCTTAGTGGTCCCCGAATGGTTATAGGCTACTTTTTATTTAATAAAAAAAATTATTTTTAAAGTAAAATAAAGAAATTGTTTAGCCAATAATACCTCTGCATCTGGCTATTTGACTACTTTAACGCCATCTAGCATTCCAGCAATGAAGCTCAAACCTAAGTACTATAGAACCTTCACACTGTATTATCACACTGTATTACCGACAGCTACGTCAACATCAAATCCAATTGACTACACTATGGAGACTGTACACTATACTTCCATAGACTATACTTTCAGCCATTTTAAACTTCCCGCCATTCTACTTCATTGTTACTTCTTCTGTGACTACAGACGCGTACGGAAGCAACTTCATTACTTTAGATATTCACGAGCAAAGCCGCGTGTTAAAGCTAGTAACTAAATAATTAAATAATTAAATACCTTGTACAACGAATTTGTTCCTCGCATTCAGATGATCCACGCTCCAAATCGGATTCTTCTTTAGCCGATGTAAGAACCAGTTTTTGAGATTTCTGTAATATTTTGCCATATAATAAACAATTTAAAATGTTGTTTTTTATTTTATTCTTACCCGATTTCTACCTTCAATATTAGCCAATTGATCGTGCCTCTGCGCTACCACGCACGAAATCCTCACATAAACATACACCATCACAACCATTGGAATGAAAAACGAACCCATCGCCGAAAAAATCACATAACCTGTGTTTTTATTATACCGACAAGTCTTTTCTTTATGCCTTCCAGGTTCGTACCTATAAAAATCATTAATCTCTTAAGGATAAACTGTCGTGGGGCTTAAAAGTAAAAGGCATGGAATAACTGCCGATAATATGCAAACAATTTTCCTCTAAGTAGGAAAATTGCTTCCAAATTGCTTTGGGACTTTAGTTAAACGACACAGTTATTTTTTACGTAGGTGGAAAACACTTAGTACGCAAATTATGCTTGACTAAGTAAGTTTTGTCTAAATTTAACAGTAGTGATTAAAGGTACTAACCAGCCAAACATGGGTGGACATGTAATTAATGCCGAACTGATCCAGACGGCGAGAATCATCGTGAAAGCTAATCGCTTCGAGCGGCGCTTTCGGCTGTAGCTCAAGGGTTGCGTGACGGCGAGATACCGGTCGACGCTGATAGCGCACAAGGACAAGATGGATGCCGTGCAGAGTAATATATCCAAGGAGACCCATACGTCGCATAGGATCCAGCCTAATTCCCATACGCCTAGCGGAAAATCATATTTTTACATTTTTAGATGTTTTATAACCTAATTTTTAATTGCCTAAATTTATGCAACCAAATTTACATCAGTTGTTTTGTTAGCATAATTTTCTTCTTTATTTATAAACATTTAAAGTAAATTTTCATGTTTACGTGAATAATTTGATTGATTTTATTTGCGTGATAATATAGGCAACCAATATTACATTAAATGTCAAAATGCATTTTTATATTTTAAATATTTTAATAATTTACGTGTTTTCTTCAAAACTAAAAGCTTGAATATTATGTTATAGTTGTTTCTTTAAATAGTTTGTTGTGCAAGCACGAATGTTTACACGCTGTAGCCGCCACCGCCGCCGGCGGCGATATTTATGGACACTAATGGCAGCCAAGAGGGGCGCAGTCGACGCGCAAGTTTTAATTAAAACTAAAGCAACAGCGCGGCGTGCGCGACGCGACGTTGACAATGCGAGGCGTAATTAATTCCGGCCGTGTCGTCTACACGCGCACCGCCCCCAAAACCCCCACATACACACCCACAAACACAGACAACCCCCTCTCGCGGCATAATAAATTTACAAGCATATACAACACACAATACAAACAGAACAACGTCAACAAATAAAAAAATCACACAATTAAAAACAGATATTACAACATACAGTATGTCCCACAAGTTATAAACTAAAGTTTCTTTACCTATAAGTCTGAATGCAACAGCAGGTGGCATCACAAAGATGCCCACGAGCCAATCTGCCACGGCTAATGACATGACAAAGCAGTTGGTAACTGTGCGAAGTCGGCGCGTTGTTAGGACGGCAAGAATGACAAGCGTGTTGCCTACGACGGTGATCACAATCACGACGCTCAGCAACCCAGCCAACGCCAGCTCTTGTGTTCCACCAGCTGGAGGCGGTGCAAGTACACCGCCCCCGGTGTTACCATCTCCACCCACTTTATCAACTCCACCCAGGTCGGCCATTCCTCCTCCTGCGAAGCTGACATTACTGTAGGTGAAGTTATCCAAGACGTTGAAGACGTTCGACTCGCTAAGACCTTCTTCGGACATAACTAATCATATCTGTAAGAAAAATTGCATAAATTTAGTAATTTTACAAGTAATATTAAGGATTAAAAGGTAAAAATCCCTACTAATATTATAAATGCGAAAGTCCTGATGTTTGTTACACTTTCACGCAAAAACTACTTAACCGATCATCATGAAAATTTGTACACATATTCTTAGTGGTCCCCGAATGGTTATAGGCTACTTTTTATTTAATAAAAAAAATTATTTTTTAAATATAATAAAGAAATTGTTTAGCCAATAATACCTCTGCATCTGGCTATTTGATTACTTTAACGCCATCTAGCATTCCAGCAATGAAGCTCAAACCTAAGTACTATAGTACCATCACACTGTATTATCACACTGTATTACCGACAGCTACGTCAACATCAAATCCAATTGACTACACTATGGAGACTGTACACTATACTTCCATAGACTATACTTTCAGCCATTTTAAACTTCCCGCCATTCTACTTCATTGTTACTTCTTCTGTGACTACAGACGCGTACGGAAACAACTTCATTATTTTAGATATTCGCGAGCAAAGCCGCGGGTTAAAGCTAGTGGGAAATATTAAGTAAATATTGCTTTTAAGTTGAAATGGATGTAAATATAGGCATACAAAGTCACACAAAGTGATGATGTACATGTAGATATCTAACATGGCCGCCAGTGCGGTTACCAACCGCAGTCTTCAGCCCGTCAGGTTTCTCTTTGCGTAATTGCGGTCTTCCACAACTTGCAAACTTTAACTCAACTTGGAAAACTTGAAGTTTTTGCCGGCGCGTTGGAGTATTATCGCATTATGCGGTATTAAAGCAGATTCTCGGTAAGATTGCGCGCGTATTGTGTGTTGTCGAGCACGTTGGGTTGCATATGTTCGCGCAAAGCCGCTACAACTTCGTATCAACTCGCATGCATTATCGTTTAACTTGAATCTTCCTAAGCCTCGTATCGCATAATTAACGCGCTCGTATTAACTACAGGGTAAGCTGAGTGCGTTAATGCACTTTATTAAACTAGTTTTGTTATCAAATTGTAATATTAATGTAATGGAGGTAAGATTATGATAAAAATGTCATTAGAGGCTTAATTTGTTTCTATATTTATGAATTTTTGATTATTTTTGTGTTTTTTGATTGTCTAAAGTTATGCAACCAAATTTACATAAATATTTTTTTATTTCTCATTGTTTTGTTTGTATAATTCACTTGTTTGTTTATAAATATTTCAAGAAAATTTCCATGTTTACGAAAATAATTCGATTGAGACTATAGGCAACCAATATCACATCAAATTCCAACCAATGAGTAAATACTCAATTTTTCAATCAAATAGCTTGTTTTTTGCGCTATAAACTTTAACGAACGTGCTAAAATGCACAACATTTAACTCATCAATCTAACATAAAACATTCTCGACTAACCAGACGCATGAATGTGCACCAATGTGCACCAATGTTTTGATGACCCGATTCGTCGTTCGTCGCCGTGCGAGTTTGACGAAATTGTTTAAGAAAATATGAAAATTGATTCAACCGAGCGAAGAAAACGAGTCATGCAGCGCAGCAGCCACATTTACCGTGCGTCATGTTAATATTCCACATTCAAGGCAACCCAGCAAACGTTGAAATTTTTATTTCTCACATTTCTCGCACAAAAAATTGAATAAAAGCCGTCAAAGTATAGATATTTCATTACTACTTGCCACGTGTTTGAATTATGGCTCAATTTAACTTTGATTTATCTACTTTTGTTTGTGGCAGCGCACGCATTAAAAATCAAAGAACGAATTTCGTAAAATTAAATATTTAGAGTCTGGACTGGTGAAAAATTCGTGGAATTTTTTTTATATTGCGAAGCATGATGTAATCTAATCGGATGTATTTGTTTGATTGAGAGCATTCCATGTAAAATAGTGCTGATACTTACCGGATTATCATGGTGATAACAAAATTGCCAAACGATCACTGAGTAAATACTTCATCTTAAAATAAAACGAAATATTTGTGTATCTGGTTGATTAAATCGCTTAAAATAACTTCTTTGTGGTTATTTGTGTTGCCTATAGTCTTTCACCACTTCCGGAAAGATTTATGACATCTAGCAGTAGTCTAACCTCACTTAAACTCTTCACTTGTTGTTTTTTTGCAAAAGTTTTGTTTTTACTTGTTTTGTTTGAGTAGCGATTGACCAATTGCACGGCTAGGGAAATGTTTAACTTTGTCACAAACACAAATACTAGGAACTTTTCTGCGGCGAATTCAACTTTCGGTTTAAATCCAAAATGGCGGTAAATAGGAGAAAACAACAAATGACAAGCACGTTAAGTTAATTAATTGATTAATTAACCATTGGCGTACTGATTGAAATAGATTGGATTGGATCCGGACGAAGAGCCGAGGATTTGAAATTGTATTGCGATCGCGACGGCCACGACGCGACTGATTGCGCGTTCAAGGTCTCGCGCGATGCTTGCATGCGTCGATTTATCACGTTCGCTTATTAGAACGTAATCGACGTCCAAGATTAAATAACAGAAAACCACCAACGGAAATTAATCCATCCGCAGGTGATTCATGCAATAAATTTCTTTAAATTTTTTTTATTTTTTTTATTTTTTTTTTAATTAAAAAAAAATTTATAAAATTTTTCCTAAAACAAAATTATTTTCTGGTTGCATGTAAATATTATGCTCATATAGTCTAACAATATGATAATCTTACACAAAACCTAATTGACAAGCTCCAAATTGAGGTTAAATATGCAAAACATTTACATAACCTTGAATCGGTTTCTTCTTGCTCGGATACTTCGCATGCAAATAATGTGTGCTAAATTAAGTCAGACTTATTATGCGTCTTCTTGCCATCGATATGTTTTCCCCGTGTTGCTTGGTTAAACTTCGCTTTGCATACGTATTCGCATAAGTTTCGAAATTCGTTTACTGTGTATGTGGCTTGTGTGCGCCTTTGAATAATTTATGCCACTTCGACGCTGTATTATGTGTCGACACGCCGTCGACGTCGTCGCACACGTCAATAAGAAGCTCGCGATGAGCTTTGCGATGAGCTTCACGAGTTTCACGAGCTTGTTGCTGCGTTACGGAGCGTGCAACATGTGTTGCATGTGTGTGTGTGGTGGGAAGACTACGACTTCGATTTGTTTCGGCTACTTTGACTTGCAAAACGTTTTTGGATGAAAAAATTTATTTCACTAAATTAATAGGTATTTATTAAATAATATTACAATTTATTTTCTATGATAAAAGTTAGGTTATTAAGTAAACTTTGTAATTTGCATTCTGAGTTATGCATACGTGAACGGAATATTAGTACACTTAATTAGTTCGTCAATTAATTGTTTACTTTGAAGTTATCCAAAGTAAACCAGCTGTTAAATCGCATTTTATCCAATCTGTCAACATGATTAACCACCCGCACGTTCAGTCATTTTAAATTATCGTATTCAGAAAGCGGAAAAAAAATGCGTTTAAGTTTACAGCGAATTTATTTTTATATTTATTATTTCGATATTTTGCGAATGCGGCAAATGTTTGAGTGGTACAGCTTACAGGCGTATCGAAACGTTTTGTCGGAGACAGCGCTCGTAAAAGCTTGAATTTTGTGAGGCAACCCGTTGCACACGCTGCACACAATTTGCAAAATGGCGGACGATGGTAAAACGCCACGTTTTATGACATTCCAAGTACTTTTGCGGAGATAAAACGCATACAACTACTAAAACTAAACAAAATACAATAAAAAACTTTATGTTGATAAAATAGGAAACTGTAATTTTTAAAATTGACTTTCAGTAATGATTTAACTTTATTTTTATTACTTTTAAATGAGATAATTTATTTTTGGACGTGTTTATCACTTGACGGAGTTTTTGTGACTTAAATTCTGCTAACAGCTACAGTGGAATGACTCACGAGGGGTTTTATTATGTTGATTAATTGATCTTTAATGTTGTTGACTGTGCGCCCGACGGCGCCTGAGTTTGGGGCATGCTGTGCTGTTTTCTTCAGGCGTAGAACCGAAACTCGGCCGACAATAGATTAATAACATTTGCGTTTGGGTTTGTGGCGACCACAGCGCCACCCTGACGATTAATTTGCATCGCGGTTACACGACTACTTAATGAAATGAATGTTTGTACGCCCCCCGTGTTCTTTCTTTGACAAACACGCGTTTGGAGATGGAATGTCGGTGATAATTTGCGTTTTATTCCAAAAATTCGGTAAAAAATGAAATAAAACATGTAAATTTGGTTGCATATCATGTTTTCAAATGTAGGCTTCACATCCCTACTAATCTTATAAATGTGAAAGTCCTGATGTTTGTTACACTTTGACGCAAAAACTACTCAACCGATCATCATGAAAATTTGTACACATATTCTTAGTGGTCCCCGAATGGTTATAGGCTACTTTTTATTTAATAAAAAAAATATTTTTTAAATAAAATAAAGAAATTGTTTAGCCAATAATACCTCTGCATCTGGCTATTTGACTACTTTAATGCCATCTAGCATTCCAGCAATGAAGCTCAAACCTAAGTACTATAGTACCATCACACTGTATTATCACACTGTATTACCGACAGCTACGTCAACATCAAATCCAATTGCCTACACTATGGAGACTGTACACTATACTTCCATAGACTATACTTTTAGCCATTTTAAACTTCCCGCTATTCTACTTCATTGTTACTTCTTCTGTGACTACAGACGCTTACGGAAGCAACTTCATTATTTTAGATTTTCGCGAGCGAAGCCGCGGGTTAAAGCTAGTATTACATAAAACATGAAAATATAGGTTTGAAACTTGGCTAAATTTCTAAGTTTCTAATTAGGAGCAGATATATTAGAGTTTCCAAGTGAAATAATCACTTACATTCCCTCTAAAGCCAAAGTGCACATCAATTTCGAAAATTTAATGCATTTGGAGCGAGTTCAATGTCGCGTGTGGGTCGTTACCGTCCCGGATCGTTTCGTAACAT